ACTAAGAGTTATAAAACCATTGGTGTCGAGCTTTAATCCTTAACCACATTATCTGAATGTTTACTAAGAGTTATAAAACCATTGGTGTCGAGCTTTAATCCTTAACCACATTATCTGAATGTTTACTAAGAGTTATAAAACCATTGGTGTCAAGCTTTAATCCTTAACCATATTATCTGAATGTTTACTAAGAGTTATAAAACCGTTGGTGTCAAGCTTTAATCCTTAACCATATTATCTGAATGTTTACTAAGAGTTATATAGCATTGGTGTCAAGCTCAGCTTGACGACAGTCAATATGTGTTTTGGTAAGATGAAGTCTTTAAGAATAAAACAAATAAAATATTTCACTCTTTACATTAATTGATTAAAGCTAATAATGTTTCTAAGTAAGAAACCTTGGCCGGTTACCTAGAGAAACGTAACATCTTAAATCAAAGCAAGTTGGCCAATCAGAGAGCTTTTGATACTAATAAGTTACCATACATGAAACAAGCCTTCCAGGTAAGTAGCTTGAGGCACTGAACACTTTGTCTTTCCTGCATTGAGCTTCTGTTTGTCTTTCTTAGAACTGAATAAAATTGTTTAAAGTTACATGGCAACTATTTTATATAGAGACTGTCGTGTCCAGTAGGTCACACTTGAATTTGTATAGAAATCTTAATTGTGTTTAAATTAGCAAAGGGTGTTTTTGTTTATATTTATAAAATTGTTACTATATGTTTAATGTCAGTTTTTAAACATTCACAATATCCAAATAAACATCACTTTACCAATATCAACTGTTTGCTGGGTTTATTTTTATAAATATTTGTTCAATTTTAATGTCCTGTTTCGATAGTCGATCTGTAAACCTTGTGTGACTTAATGGATTACCTTCTACATATTCTCTACATAAATAGTGAGTGTTATGGAAATGACAGATACATTCTATGATATCTCTACAGTGTTAAAGGTAACAGTGAAGACTGTAGTCCTTTATGTACATTATATGATATCTATACAGTGTTAAAGGTAACAGTGAAGACTGTAGTCCTTTATGTACATTATATGATATCTCTACAGTGTTAAAGGTAACAGTGAAGACTGTAGTCCTTTATGTACATTATATGATATCTCTACAGTGTTAAAGGTAACAGTGAAGACTGTAGTCCTTTAACCACGTTATATCTACCTGAACAAGGTTAAAGGAACACTTACTGAAAGTACAACCACATTATATCTACCTGAACAAGGTTAAAGGAACAGTAATTGAGGATAACACCATGAGAACCTAACGTTAAAGGTGAATTAAATAGGCTGTGTCCTTTCTGTAACTTAAGTGCTGACAACAAAGAATGTAAGGACTGTTACTCACATTGTCCATGATATTCAGATTTTGTTCATTCTTAGCCCAAACGATTCACTGATAGAGCTTCAGGATTTCATCAGGTTGTCCTAATGAAAAAATTGGTTAATTTATTAAGAGTTTGAACTCTGTTCACTTTAACAAAATTAAAGAAAATGCTTTTTGCTGTAGATTAGCTCTGAAGCTTTAAAAAGGTGCGTTAAATAGAAGCAAAAAACAAACTGTTGACAGGTGGATACACATCAGCTTAATATTAGTTTTGCGTTTCCCATCATGGTTACTGAAATCAGGTATATATAATATCTGAAATAAGAAAAAGTGGAAAAAATTAAAAGCTATTACAGACAACTGCTCTTGTTTTATCAAATTACTAATATTACTTACATTTTTATTTGACATATTTATTTTGTTCGAAGATCAGACCAAAGAAGAGTACAAGTCATTATCAACAGGAAATTAAACAAATATTATAATTTTTTAAAGCAAAACCCTCAATTTTGCCAATACTGTGTGTGTTACCAGAAGAGAACTTTGTATACCAATCACCCGATAAACTATCTTGCTGTAACTAGCTCTGTCCAATCCTCCATGTTAACAAAACTTGCAACATTTATCTCTGCTTCAACAACAGGAAAAACCCATCAGACTGTAACTAGCTCTACTGAACCTTCTGTTCTTGTTCGGAATCCTTCACCAAAATCAGTTAAAATAACGAGTGAGACTATCACATATGAAGTAACTTAATAACGAAGTTACAAAGAAATATCACTGGTTCACGAATTATTACTCTGCAGGTGTTGTGAAACTCTGATGTAACTGTTCAAACCCTGTATAACATATTTATTGAATGATTTTATTTAAGTTCTGACATAATTTTACATTCTGTGATAAAACAATAAGCCAAAAAGAAACAAAGTACTACTGAACATCAACAATTCTTTCAACTACGATTGTGCGTCACAAAAAAACATTTTAAAGTCTTTATAAAACAACGACAAACAAGTTAGAAAACATCCAACCACATCAACATAATAATCACATGAAACTACAATTCAATATTTATTGTACTACAGTCTTCACTGTTACCTTTAACACTGTAGAGATATTATATAATGTACATCTACTTTCAGTAGAGTGTTCCTTTAACCTTGTTCAGGTAGATATAATGTGGTTCTACTTTCAGTAGTGTTCCTTTAACCTTGTTCAGGTAGATATAATGTGGTTCTACTTTCAGTAGAGTGTTCCTTTAACCTTGTTCAGGTAGATATAATGTGGTTCTACTTTCAGTAGAGTGTTCCTTTAACCTTGTTCAGGTAGTTATAATGTGGTTTTACTTTCAGTAGAGTGTTCCTTTAACCTTGTTCAGGTAGATATAATGTGGTTCTACTTTCAGTAGAGTGTTCCTTTAACCTTGTTCAGGTAGT